CAGATCAAGCACAGCAGCAGGAGTAAAGGCATTAAGGAGAGAGAAAACAAGGCAAAAAAACAGTCATCTACATGCCTAGAGCCTGAGGTGGCAGGAAGAGTAAAAAAGAGCCAAGCAGGTAACTCGCAGGGAGAGATGGACTAGAAACTGAAGGCAGAAATGAAAGGCATGGCCTGGGGAGCATGCCCACTTTTATTACACAGGTCCAAGCATATGCAGCATGGAGGCATGGAGAGGTGTTTTGGCCTGAAAAATCTTCCTGGGAAATGAGAGCCCCTGAGGCAATGACAAGGAGAAAGCTTAACAATGAGGAACTCAACAATTCAACAGAAGGTAAGGACTTGATAACTAAATGGTGTGGAGACAGGGATGAGGGAGGGGTGCAGGGAACGGGGATTACGGATCCCAGTTCTGTTCTGGAGGCTCGGACAGATGGCAAAGCTCTTCACCAAGGTGGGTAACACGTGAGAAGGAAGAGGTGATGGAGGGGCAGGGGTGAAACTGAAGTCAGTTTGGACTTGTATGAGACACTGACATTCGAGCGCAGATGGTTCATTAGGTAGTCACATATACGAAAATGAAAAGTAAAACAGAGGTCAAGGCAAGATATGTACTATTAAGGAACTACCCACACGCAGATGATGGCTGAGGTTACTGAAATAAACTATTCTGAGATATTGCAGTGTGGGATTAAAACAAAAATGAGAAAGAATCATGGGGACACAATTTGGGGGGCAATAAGACAGGTTCAAAGAGGTGATAAAAAAACAGGAGTAAACTTTTGGAAGACAAGGAAAAGGAGTTGGAAGGAGGGTGGCTTTAACTTTACAAACATGGACGTCAGCAGGATGCAGCCTAAGCAATCCCAGAGAACCTCAAAAGTTCCAAGAATTAAGGATCCTCATTCAGATGAAAAGGCTATGATCCACGGGGACAGTATTTGGAAAGTACAAGTCCTAAGACTTCTAACCACTGTTATATTCTAAGTAAAGGAAGAGTAAGGGTTAAATGGGTGCTTGCTTTGTCTCAAAGCAGAAAATGAGGCTGTGAAGATTAGCATAGAACCTGTATGAAATAAATTTAGAAAGCATTTTCTTAAAAATAAAGATTGGATGAGCATAGGACTATTATGCCTTCAGAGAACTCTTTGTTTCAACAATATTCACCAGACACAAGCTTCATGCCCTATACGGTGCTAGTGTCTGCTGAGGAGGGGATTGGGGGGCTGCAAATGCAGCCAGCTATAACTCTACGTAACGCACTTCATTCAACTACTTAGAAACTAAATGCAATGAAGAGAGATGAATAGTATGGCATGCAGGTGAAACTCAAAAGTACCAATGGCTCAACAAGCCCTAACAACAAATATTCACATAAAGGCTGGTAATACTTCATCTAAAAAAAGAGAATGGAAAATTATATGCTAAGATGTCTGTTGTTTACGCAAAGCCCCTTAAATAGCTAAACTTTTCTGAGCATATTAACACAGATCAGGGTTTTATTACTGATCCTGAATTATGTACAAACATAGCAATGTGGTAAGTTCAACGTGCTACGGCTAGCTATTTTATTTTCAATTCTACCGCTACATTCTACATAAATTTGAGGCCAAAATAATGATTGCACTGCAGTACCTATTTTTGCTGAATAAATATCAATTCTGTTAATAAATACTGGCCCCACAAATACTATAAAATTCTATACTCAAAGGCCACCTGGAAAGCATAAAGCTCATATATTTAAACCAAATAGAATTAGACTTTATTCTATTTAGATGGCAAATAGGTCATCTGTTCTAACTGCATCAGTTTCTCTTAACAATGTATACACAGAATACAATTCAGTGAAATAATTCTTGTTAGAAACTTCAAATACCAACACGTTTTAGTATGTCATAAAAATCCTGACCTTGGTATTAAAGGAAAAGGATAATCTGTTCCACAAATATATTTTTTTAGTTGTTCCTAATGACCTTTACCTCTAGGATCTTGCATACGATTCAGGAAAAACTATACATCTATAGGCAGTAAATTAACATTTTCATCTGAAATGAATCATGCTGAATCCAGCCATGGTGAATGAAGTAGGCAGATTTGTGTAAGCATGGGCAGGGTAGACCAGAGGCGGCTGCTAACTTAAGCTTACACAGCTGGTTTCTCTACAGTTAAACACAACTTGCCTAACCTGGGTAAGAAAAATTCATGGAATGAAACAATTATGTAAAGTCAATACTTTGGTCTCAATATTAGGCTCATGTCATCACTGGTAAGGCAAGAACCAAGACATGGCAAAACTTGTCATTTGTTTTGACCATTTGTGATTCATTTGAGAGGTCCACAGCATACTTTAGAGATTGCCTGGGTACAAATGTAAATGGCGCCTGAGGCGGGGCTGGTATGAAGGGGAGAGTCAAATGAATGAGTGGCTAGCCAGGGGCCTCGCTTGCATATCTCAGTAAGGTGTTCTGTTCTCAGTAGGACTATGAAAGGAATGCTTAAATTTTTCAGTTATATTTTACTATATTTCATGGAAGAAATTATATTTTCTGGTAAACTTAATGAATCTGTGGATTCGTGAAGGACTCGGGAAGTATTCCTGATGAATGTCATGAGTCTATTCTATACCCAAATACTCCTGAAATAGTAGCCAAACAGATTTTCTCAAATATTACCTTCTGTTTATGACTTAAAGTTAAAACTTAAAAAAGAAATATTGCATTACTGAAAATTAGGAATGATGGCACAGGAAATCGAATTCTTAAATTTTCACAAAAGAACATTCATTTAACTATTACATACTTCAAAACAAAGATGAGACAAATAACTTGAATATCCTAGAAATGTAAGGCTGAGATCTTCCAAGTCACCCACACCCTCCATCTGAGACCTGAAATCTGAGTCCAGTGTCCTTAAGAATACCTGCAATTAAGAAGCCTTAGAGGGAACTGAGTAGAGGTTAAATGTTCCTGAAAAGCACTTGTGGCCCCACTTCTGCCACTTTATACAGCTTAGAGTCATGGGGCTGCTGTTTCAGTCTTTTCTGGTGAGCATTCGCTGAGATTCCCTTTTCTGGGTAGAGTTAAAATGAAAGGCAGGCACAAGTACACTCGGAAATGACCTCTAGAACTCAAAGAGCTCCATCTGGGAAAAAAATGGAGTTGATGCATTGTCTAGCACTGAAAGCTGCTTGCATCATTGGATGATAATTAGCTACAAAAAATATTTTCTCTTTTGGAGGTCAGTCTGTTCAGCAATAAGCTTTAGTTTCTGTTGCAGAAATTAAACTCAACATGGAATTGAAATATATTCTGCTATTGTATTATATGAAATATTGTATAATGCAAATAACAGACAAACAGTTTCACTTGTAAAAACCCAATGATTGTTCTGGAGAGAAAAGAAAATAGCACTGAGAGAAAAATAAGATCTTTCTCTAAACAATGGTTTCCGAGGTTCATCTTTCAAAATGTGGGCCAGATCATGAATTCCAGTTAACACGCCCCTCAGAGAGCCCAGTTTGGAATGCACAGAACAAAGGATTTATTCAGAGATCTCTTGGATGTTTTTTCCTCCTCAAAAATAATGAAAGCAAGGAGTCCAGACGGGAATGCAGCCCCTTTGGGAGAGGAACCTTTTGAGACGGATAGCAAGGATCCGTAAATAAATCTCCAAGATTAAATGAGGAATTTTAGAAAGCCTAGTTTTGTTTGTTTGTTTGTTTGTCTGTGTGTTTTTTACTAAATTATTTCTACATGGTATTCCAGTAATTCTGAAATAGCTAAGTGACAATGTTTTATGCAATAGCTCAGACGAAGATAAAAGATCATAATGCGGTTTTTAAAACCTCCAGCTTTCTCTCCCAGTTTGAACCAATGACTATTTAAGCATAGCTGGGACCTGTTTTCCTTGCCACCCTCTTCTTGCTGGACCTGGTTTCTGCTGCTCAGATGAGTAAGTCACATTTTCGCTGCCACAAGGTCCTTCCTTCTACCCAATGCAGATCCTGGAACAGAGACTTCTCCCCAGCTCTGAGGGTTTCTGATGCCTTTAGCATAGGAGCCACAAACACAATGGAAGATGAGATCAGGACAAGCAGAAGTGATGGGGGAAAGGACAGTGGGTGGACAGAAAGAAGCTGGCTTCTTCTAGCAGGTTACTGAATTAGACTGTCTCCTTCATTAGTGTAGGTAATTTAAGGTAACAAATTTATAGCGTAACTATTTAAAATTTTATGGCTAATTTTATTAACATTTTAAAAGTACTTAATATAGTTTAATTTTTGGCCTAGATTATAGTTCAAAGTGCTGCATTGTATAGTGAATTACAGACAAGTGTACTAGGGCATCCTTGCCAAGGAAGAGCCAACTGGTTATCATTTGTGAGGGAATTTGCTGTGCCTTTTAATTTAACAACAAATCTTGGTTCCTCACTTTTTGGGATCCCTCAATTCCTCTCCTTTTTGCTTATTTTATTCAAGACGGAGTGTTTTTAACACATCCACGATTCTCTTCTACTTCCAGAGCAGTAGAAAATGTTTGCACTGTACTGGTTGTTTTACTTTCTCACAATTCTTCATCAACAAAGTGACAGATACTCAACAGAAAACATGCATTCTGTTGCTATCGTCATATCACTTATCCCCAAAAGATGAAGACTGTCAAAAGTGATCACATGGTCAATGTCACCTCAAGGCATCTACCAAATTCTAATTCACGTGGCTACTAAGTGCGTGCAGGGATGATTTTTGTTAATCCCACAGGGAAATGAAAGATAAAGCACAATGACCACTACACACAGCAAAAGGCTATGCTGGAATATAGCCTCATTTATCCTTATGGCTTTGGAATACTGTCATGCTTCGAAAGCCACTTGTGCATGCCTCTCAGTTTTAATTATTGATTTCCAATAAAATATGGGAAGACCAAAAAGCCAGTGCTTATGGGTCTGGTGTTGCTTAAATTGGGGGCAAGGCCGAGAGCAAACCCGTGAAGGCACACTCACCGCCTCTCCAGGGGCCGCCCGTCACTCGAGATGCTGCGAGGAATGTTGGCGGCTCTTTCTGGAGGCGGCATCTTCCCGTCGCCCTTCCCGGCATTCAGCCTCGAGGTCATGGGACTCTGCACCTGGGACGGGACTTGAGGAGCGTGAGGCCCTTTGCTGGCACTCCTCTGCCATTTGTTGTTATTTCGGAATGGAAACTTGAATTCGTATGAAACCCCTTCATTCATTTTGTACTCCATCACCGGCATGCGGTAGGTTTCAGAGCAACTCCTATTAGGGGTGGGCACAGAGAGAAGAAAAATTAATATTGTTTTTTCTTGTCGGTGGAACCACACTGATTCTCATTATCAGTTAAAATGAATCAAACACTTCATCCTCTGATTCTAACCATCTTTAACCACTGGGCCCTATAATTATTTTCCTTTCAAAAACCAGAACCCCAGGAAGTATTAGTATTTTTCTTTGCTCAATCCCAACTGTTGGGTCTGCGATAACAAGTCCTTAAACAAAGAGACTCAAGGTCACCCTGCTGGGGGGTGGGAAGGTACTGAGGCTTCAGGGAAGGCCACCGGAATAGCATGACAAGGTAGCAGACCCCTAAGATGGGGCCTCAGAGGAAACAAGCAGTGAGGTTTACAACTCTTCGTTGTGTATTATGATTGGGGTTCTAAAAGGGTGTACAGTTTTGAATTTGTTAGGATTCTGATAGTCAAAAATTAAGTGGGAAGAAATCTTGAAATCCAAATTAAGAGCCAAATTTAACTCAGAAGGAGAGGGGAAAAAAAGCCAATTACAGAAATTCTACAATTATCAAATGACCAGGGCATGAAGCGTAATTTGAAATCAGACTTTCCTCCACCCCGAAAGTTAGAAATCTTCCATAGGACAGCTGTCCTCAGATAGCATGAGTGAAATTAATGGCAGGCACAAATGTGTTCTGCCACTTTAGCCCCTTTTTTTGTGCCACTATCCCAACCTCCAAACCTCAGGAAATGGGGAACCTACTTTCCGTTCCCTTTACCCAAACAACCAAGGGATGATCAAGCAACTATTGACTGATAGACAAATTACTGAAAAAACCTATTCTCACTAAAGCATTAATTCAAACTGTGCATTCAAACTGCATCATTAAGTGAAAAAAATGACTCTTTCTTAAAGGAATTTCGAAGATTGAGAAGCAAGTGGGAAGATCTGGAAAGGAAAGGTTAAGAATGATTGCGAAATAGCCCTTTGAGACGTACTTTATAGATAACATAAGAAGAGTCCAAACCAATGCCATCTAATAGAAAATAAAATGTGAGCCACAAAAACAAGCCACATGTATAATTTTAAAATGTCTGGTAGCCATATTAAAAAAGTAAAATGAAACAGGTAAAAATTTAATAATAATTTTATTCAACCTAATATATTCGGAATACTATCATTTCAACATGTAATCAAGAAGTTCGTATTAATAAAATTACTAATGAGGTATTTTACATTCTTCTAAGTTTGTTGTGTATTTTATACATAAAGCATGTCTCACTTGGGACTAGCCACATTACAAGGGCTCTAGAGCCATAAGTGACTCATGGCTTCTTATTGGACAAATCAGGACCCAAGAGCATTCAACTGAAGACCTGGACCTCATTTTGGGGAAGGGGCCATGTTGGTGTGAGAATAAGCACCACAGAAGGTGTCTGTCACTCATTCATGACCTTGTCTATGTATCTCAAGGTGTAACTCTTGACATTCCAGATGTACCCCACAACGCGTCCCCTCCCATGCCTCCAGGATAGCCATAGCTTTTGAAAGTGCTGCTTTTGGAGCAAGTACATTCGCTGGCATCCATGCGCTCCTCAGTCTCAGCTCAGGTCTCCTATGGGTATCCTTCCCTAGAGTTTCCTTACTACTCCCCCCTAAACCCCCCAAAAGCCTAGGTCAACATTAATCTAACCCTCTGCCCAAGATTCTACTGTGCACCTTTTATGCTTTAATGACAATGGCTTTCCAATTTTTTTGGACTACAATCCCAGTAAGAAATAGAGTTTACACTATGATACCTCACAACCACACACACACACACACACACACACGTCCTTCCTCTGATAGCTTTCATTATGCTATACTCTGTTAATCTATTTCATAAAAAAATACACTGGGTGCAACATCCTAAACTGATTTTATCATAAGAGTTATGATCTGCAATTTGTAAATTTTACAGAACATGACATTACTTTTAGCAGTAAATGACTTATGTAAACCCTTTTCTCTGATATGAAAATATCAACTTAGGCTTTGATATAATTTCTAGTTTTGATTCTGATATTTGACAAAAAATATGACATTGCAACATTGTGGGAGGTTTGTTAATAGAGGTATTACTGCTGTATGATTTGAACTCTTCCATTTCTGACTAAATATGGCATATTATACACTATTTACTGCTCCGGATCTGTAAATATAATGCAAGAAAGCTATAGCTTGCCAAAAGAATATTAATAAAAATAACCTATGGGGAAACTTCTCTCCATCTCAAAATCAGGACTAGTTTTGCTTCTCAGCCGTACTCCGCTTTTAACTTGTAAACTCAATGGATCATATCATTTCCATCCTTTTCTGTTGGCTGCTAGGAAACACTACATGTACATAACTTTATTATCACGTATTTTGGGCACTAATTTTTCAAACATGTTCCCCTAGGTCAGGTTTTCCCACCACGCCCCTTCCCCTGCCCGCTCCACATACACAGATGTCCTTCACTGTTTTAATTCTGTGATACTCTGCATTCTACATGTACCTTCATTGGCTGCTTCAAGTCCATACTGCATCAGGGTAGAGGATGATAAATGATAATGGAAACAATAATGATGTAATATAAAACAGACAAGTCGTTTTCACTTTGGGGGCCTTAGTTTCTTTGTGAAATAATTGCTGAACTTTCTTCTTGTTCAAATACTCTCTGGAATCATCATTTGAGCTGCATAACATTTAATACTAAAACTAGTTAAAAGACCCCAATTAGCCAAAGACTTCATCTTCTCTATGGTCTATACTTAATTTCCATCATTCTTAACATATAACTAGAAACCTTCGGCATATTCCATAATTACAGAATGTAGTCTGACAAAGCCAAATGGGGAGAGAAGATTTGCTCATAGAGGACGGAAGACAAAGGTTCCACAGAGCTACACCTTGGCCATCACCTTCCACGGTGAGGCGGACCATCCACTACCTTCTGATCATTCACTCATCTCTGTAAAATATAAGAATGACACCTGGAATCCAGAAGTGAGCAGCACATCGAAGAACAAAGATAAAAGCTGGCTTTTAATGATATGCATGAAAGTTTATAAAAGGAGTTTTGTTATATCGTCTCGAGAAAAACTTGGTGTTGAACAATAACAACTAACAAACACAGGTCACAATGGACCAGACACTAATCTAGCCTCGCTACGACTCTCTGAAATGAGTATATCAGTATCCCCATTTATCAGATGAGAAAATGTAGACTTGGAGAGATTAATTTGCCCACGACCACACAATCAGGAAGTGGCAAAGCCAGGACCTGAACCCAGAGAATTAATTTACTTTTGGTTAGTCTTAGTTCTGTCACTAAGCATACTTCTATTTCAAGTCCCCATACTTCTTCACCTTATAGTAACTATCACATTTCACTCAGGGCAGAGCCTATGACAAAACAAAAAACTCAGCAACTTTTAAAGAGCTATGATCAAAAGAAATTAAAATGTGAGGGCTAAAAGTGACATATAGTGACAGGTTGAAACCATAAGTTAAGTAAAAAGCCATTCCATTCACTTACTCTCTTTTTCGGTCTTTTTATTATTCCTCACTTTCTCCTTTAATTTCTTATTACCCATTACTCTCTCTCTCTTTTTTAAGACACTAAGAATTAGAAAAACAATCGAACAGTATATAGAACAAAACATTATAACACCAGACTAGTGAATCAGAAAAATTAGATGTTTGAGGACAGCTAGGTCCCTGATAAGCCATGTGACTTTGGCTTAGAAACAAATACTTACCCTCATCTGAAATATGAGAGATTTCAACCAGAAGATCTCTAACAGTCCTTCTAGCTCTAAAATATCTGCTTTTACACTTTGAAATACTTGTTTTTAAAAATGAAGAAAAAATGTTGTGACCCACTCTTATTTAAAATGTAATTTGGTCTTTTTATGTAACTTGTTTTTCCACACTTCTCCTTGAATCGCTTTCTTTAAAAACTGCAGGCTCCTAGCCCTCCAGAAAATAAAAGTTTGCCCTCCCATGTAACGCCATCAAACATCAAAATTTAATATGTTATGTGGGTATTTTTCATCTTGCCAACAGAATAGAATGGCTGTTCAAGACTCAGAGGTCGCAGACACCGAAAGATTAATACTGGTCATGAACTTCAGCGTCTGTGATGGAGTGGGGTGAGGCGTCCCACCTGCAGGCTCACATCTCACTCCGGGGGAAATCTTCCAGGTAAAGTCCGCAGGTAAGTACCAACCGGTTCCTGCAGGACTGCTTCCAGCATGCTGTCATTCTAGTTAGCCACGCTTGCTCTCTGGGCAGCTCCCGAACCTCTCCCAATCTCCTTCTCCTCATTGTTTCAATGGAAGTAAGGCTGCCATGGAGATTTCTTCAAAAAGCCCAGTACACAGCAGGGGCTTAAAAAAGTTGCTTTACCTTCCCTGTCCCTTTATTTGTTATTGAAGCCCCACTTTGTTGTCATTATACTGGCTTTTTCATAAAAAACAAACAAACAACCCAACAAACAAAACAAAACAAAGAATCCCCTGACTTTTCCACGTGAACATACATGGGTGTTTGTAATCACATACGATCACCATGCCAGGTGCCTATGGCCTCAGGATACGGGCAACCCTGAGGAGGGGTGGGGGATGCGTGTCAGCGTGCCGCAGGGAGGCCTGTTCAGCCTCATGCTGGAGCTGCAGTAACGACTGACAGAGAGTGACTAGTCAAGGAACAGAGGAATTAGTTGCTAGGAAAACAGCAGTGGGAGTGTGAAGTGCGGAGGAGAAGGAGGAAAAAAAGACAGAAGAGAATTATCTTATTTTGCTAAAAACTGTAGCAAGGTGCTAATGCTTCAACTGTTCCTTTGAAGTCATTTCTAAAGGCGGGAAATGGAGAGCAAGGCTTTTAGTCTGCCAAAGGCCTCGATGGCATCATCTCACACCTGCTCTGAAGGTCAGACAGCGGCTTTTCAGATGGAAACTGGGTGACAGGGACAGAGTGTGTCTCTGAGGCCCATGGGGCTGTGCAGTACACTGGTCCTTCATCCCAGCCTCCCATGAGGCATCGTAACCAACACCCTTGGTCATGTCACTACCAGCTCCGCTGGCGAGGAGAGGATGGTAACTAGGGCCTCAGAAGCGGTGCTGGGAGAATACGGCAAAGGCGGCTCACTCGTCAGGGGTGTGCTGGAGCTGGCCTGTGCTAGTTTGCAGAGTGGCTGTGAGTCTCTATCCCAACTCTGCATTCATGGTGTCACGTTGGTGGCTTGAAATCGGCCACAGTGGGAGTATTTACGCCATGAGAATCAGCAAATGTTAAAAATCAAGGTTCTTTTCCCGAACCGAAAGCCAGTTTAGCAGCAAGCCCCTGCTTATGCTGGTATATAAGGAAAAGATTTGTGTCCCAAGCATACAAAGTAGCAGTTAAGAGCCTGGATTCTCAAGTTAAGACTTAAATTTTCCAGATGACCTTAGGAAGTTACTAACCTTTCTGAATCTTGGTTTCTTTTAAATAGGAATATTAATAGTATTACCTCAGGGTTGCTTTAAGGGCTAAATGCACTAATTCATATAAAAGTGCTTTTTCCAGGACGTGGACATTAATTACTCTGCAAATGTCAGTTGTTTGTACCAACACACCACAGAAGGCGCATCCAGTCTAGTATCTTGCCCTTGATAAACCACCTCCCATCAAGGACTCATCTATCTAGGGCCGGGCCTTCAGATCCATCTTTCTAGCAACCGCTATTCACAAGTCATCGTCTGTAATCCTACCCTTTCATTCTGTTTCCTTACACACTCTCACACACACCTACTTCCTCCAAACCCCGCCACCTACCCCCTACAAACTGGGGAGACAGAAACAGGGGGAAAGACCTCTGAGCAGACAAGATGGCGTCACGAGATCTACGGGCTTCATTCTGAGTAGATTAGTCCTCAGACTAGTAGCTCTAACTCTGTGCTGTGTGTAACGAAGGTTGACAAGTTACAAAGCTTGGTTATCATCTCTAGTTCACAGCTGTCTGTTCAGAAGCAATGACGTGGATGATTTGTAGGAGACAACGAGGAACAGAAGGCAGACAAGAGGAAGAGCACAGAGCACTTGGAGAGTACTGTAAGGACCCAGCAGCCTTTCTGATCCACCTCGAATCAGTTCAGCAAAGTGCTTGACGAATGATGCGCTTGGAGAAACCGGAAAAGACCTGGCTAACTAAGGCAGGGTATGTGTGTAAGGCGATTTCAGAATATTCCTCCCAACTCCCCCACCCCCCAAAATAGTTGGAATAAAAAGTTCTGGGTATATAGTTTCCAGAGAAATCCAGTGGTCCAAAAGGTAGCGTTCCTTAAGGCCATTAGATGAAGGGATTTCACCATGTTCTGACAGAGGTACATAATTTCTGGGCCATCTAGGGGTAAGTAGTATTAAGAAACAGTACCTTGCACACTGTCTGGTCTGTAACATCTGGTTTTGAGAACTAAAGTCCATTTAGATCGTCATTGCTGCTTATTTTTTAAAGGACACAAATGACCGATTATAACTGTTAATACAGTCTGCTATCCGATGTTCATGAATCTGAGAACTCAGTGGCAGACTGGTCATGTTTCAGGGGAAAAAAATAGGACGAAGAATATTGTCTTGGCTTTAGAAGGCCTAAGAATTAATTGCCAAAGCTTAAGAGAAACTCTTAGAAAATAATGGGTTCAAAGCAAATTAACAGATTGAAAAAAACTAGCGATAATGGCATGGGTGTGCCCAAAGGAGAAAAGAAACAGTTGATTAAATTTGTTCCATCAGGAAACTTCCCGGGAGAAAAAAAAAATTAAATTTTCAACAGCACTGCTGGCCTGGCAGGAGCCGGGAGGGGTGGGGAGCTCCTGGGCTTCCCTTTTGGAAAAGGATGGGGCCAAACTGCTGAAGCAACATGAGCAAGATCAGCTTTTCTGAAGCCAATCCCTGACACAAAGATGCAGTTCAGAAAAAGTTTGGACAGTCATGTTTGCCCCTCCAAGCTGAGATAGCCAAGGTCAAAACAGAACTTTATAGAGTTTTGGACAGCAATTGGGTACAAATGGGAGATTCAGAAGAATAAGAGTGTCATGGAACATTAAAGAAAAACGTCTGATGGTTTGTGATGCTGAGCGTCTTTTACTGTTTAGTGTGTAATGTTTCTGAGTTACTGGTGTGAGATGTTTAGGATGGATATTACCAGACTTCCCTATCTGTAACGGCAACTTCATAAATCCAGAGATGTAAATCTTGGGAACAGTCCAAGTTAGTCATTCTTCCCAGCTACTGTTGTCACATTCTGAAAGGGAATCGTATCCTGAATTGGCCTATCCATGGATGGACCTTTCCGTATCACGTGCAATATAGTGCTCTGCACAGCGCCCTACTCCCCCACCCAGCAGATGTCCTACGTGGCACACAAATCCGGCCCTGGGCTCCCAAGATCACAGCTGCCAACTCAGACTTACCTCCGTGGGGTGCAGTCATCATGGGGGGGAATAATGACAACCTTCACTGTGACAGATGTTCTTAGGAGATCGATCATCTGCTCATGGCTCAGAGTGGCCACCGCCACCTTGCAGATCTCCACCAGCCGGCTGCCCTGCCTCAGCCCTGCCTGCCAGGCATAGCCGTAGGGCTCCACGTCTGCCACGATGCCCTCGTAGTTGACATGGAAGCCAAGCTGTCCCAGCCCATTCCTTCTCAGAGTCATCTCCACTGACTCACAGCCCTTAGACACAAACTAGACAAGGAAACAAAAGAAACAGTTTAACCCACAAGGTATTAAGTGGTAGACATGGAACCAAAAAAATAGTGCAAGCGAGGTTATTTCTGAATACCCTACTGGAAGATGAACAGCGGTCGAGTTATTTCTCCTTCACTAACAGCCATTCATCAGGCCAAAAAGAACATACTTGTTGCATCCAGGAACTCAATAGTGTCACTGAAGTTACAAGGAAACCTTTGAGACATACAGGGAGCTGGCAGCAAAGAGAAACTGTATTCTGCCACTCACTTTGTCCTTAAAAAAATTCAAGGTAGCAGATATCCAATTAATTCTTTTCAACAGCTAAAGCAGACTGGCTGGGCTAAATCATCAGTCACCAAGCAATGAATCACACATAAACAGGTTTCCAAAACACATGTGCGCACAGTAAATGTGTCTTTCCCTGTTTGTTCTACTACTTTTCTTCTTGAAAAATGATTGAAACCAAGTATGAGATAAACCCTGTGTCCTTCACATCATCAAGGGGATTTTTTTAGAGGAGCTAATAAAAGAGTACAAGCTTCTATAACTTGGCTTTAGTCTGTACTGAAAGCTTTACAAAGGGGAAACTGAATGTAGGTAGGTGGAAGACTTACCTGCAACCTTTTGACAATCTCTTTGATATCCTCATTGTTAATGAAACTCTCCACCGCAACACATTCCCCTCGCTCGTAGAAGATTTTGAGGCTAGTGTCAGTTGAAGTCCACCCTATCACATCTCTGCAGGAACAGTTGAAAACCACGCTCTTTGTTTCCTGTTCGATGAGGACGATGAACTCATTGGAGACCCCTAGGAGGCAATCTATCTCCATTGCCTTGTTGTAGTCTTTGGCGTGGACAGCCCACACAATGGCCCCCATGCTACTGAGCTCAGCTCCTGGGTATGGCTTAGACTTTTCCTTCTTTTTGGAGGCCAGAGAGATGAAAGGGAACTTGCCAGATGGGTCAATAGGGGTGTTGGTGACATTCTTTTCTGCCAGATCTTTCAGGTATTCCTGGCGGGTCCGAGTCGCCATGGCTCGGAACTTTTCTGATTTATGAGCAGCGTTTTCTGCATTAATCACTTTGGCCAAAAGGAAGTCCCTGAACACATTTGACTTAGGGAAAGTTACCCCTTTGGGGATGGGAGGTCCAAAGGAAGGCACATCTCTGGACCTGGTGACAGCCACACTAAGAGAAGAAAGCAAAGATCAAAGAGAAAGAGGTGTGTCAACATTTCTCAGTCTCAAAGCCAAGAGAATAAAATATATTTTCTCCAAGACAAAGACAACCCTCGAAAGGAAAGTAACTGTCACTGTTCCACAAAAAATAATACACATTTTCACTTAACGAGAGCACACTTTTTCTTTCATCCACATTTAGGATTTAAAATTTTTTCTAGGTCAAAAAAACCCCAAAAAGCTTAAAGAACTTTCTTTTCATTAACAAATAGTAAACCAATCATAACTCCAAGAAAAGAAATTTACTGTGTTCTTCACAAAAGACAACATTTCTAGGAATGGGGAGGGGGTGGGAGGGATTACTATAATCACAAGCATAGATTCTGTAAAAACGCAAACGTGGTTTCCATTTCAGATCTGATGCCCATAAGCAGACAGCTTATAATGAAAATATAAAAAGATGCATGACATAAGAGAGATGATTAATAATTCTTTTTAAGTAAATAAATATTACTTGTTGGTCTTTGTGTCAGGCATTATGAAACCAAATCAAAAGCATAACTTAAAAGTGAAAATTGACATTTGAGTAAGGTATTAAAATGATTTTGATCTTGATAGTAATAGCAATGGTGCTTTAAAATCATAATTTTAAAATGAGCTATTCTTTGGTTCATATTCTCCACCTTTGCTGTTTGACTCTGACAATTTGATCATGAGAATATTTTCCATTTTCCATTTTTTTATGTGAGATTGATTTAAGAAAGCATGTTCTAGTTATTTCTTCTGCATAAATCTTGCTAAAACTTGGCCTAAGAAAAAGACCGCACGAGTGTCTGTAATAACCTATGATTTTTAATCCCAAAAAAAATTTCCTGAAACAACAACAACAGAAATTAAATGGAAACGAGGTTGTGTGTTTTATATCATGTTCCAAGATCTCATCCCAGGGCCTCAGCAAAGTTTGAGAGGACATAATTCTAACAGATCACATCTCTCTTTTTTTAAAAACACCTAATCATTTAAAAGTGAGTCAATTATGCAATTGTACTAAGCATAAAGGAAGCAATACAAAATCTATTTCATCTAAACTCTCAGAATTAAAAAGACATAATTGGAGAGCATGCATCTTTCAAATTAAATTGAAGAGCTGTTTCATTATTTTTTATTTTAAAATCTTTAAGATCTTTGCTGTTTTGCTTTTCAAAAAATGATTACTTCTTTTAAAATAGGATAAATAAAAAACAGCAAATTCAGATCAAAATATACATTTTGTCAGAAAATTCCACAGAACGGGCTATTTGTTGATTTTCAAAAACTATATTTTTTTCAAAAGACTATCAAGTTCACTTCATGACAAAGAAAGGTGGCAAGCAACTCCATTATCTAACTGGAGAAGAGAATTCACAGAAATCTCCATATGCATTATAGCTTAATTATACGAGTATTAGGAAGGCAATTTTTCTTGTCTATTGTGAGCTGTCTGGCTTGAATGCTGACAGCTGTATAATTTTAATTTGATCATGTTATTTTTTTTCTAAATCAAGCAAAAGATGCTAAAATCCAGATTTGCTAGCTTTTCTAAGAGGAATCCTGTAAGGATCCAGAAATATTTAACAACTTTCATTTTTAAATTGGCAATTTCTTTTCTTGATAATTTCATTTCAAATTGTTACTCTTTCTCAAGAAGCAGCTGTGATTTTATTTTAAATAAGGAGAGGAAAATGCTTAGCATGGGATGTGAATATGGGCACCATCCAGTTGCCCCTTAAACTCATCAGCTTTCTACAGATCTATTTATTAACTGATAGAACTTTAGACAAACATATACTGAAAACCCACCAATAATTAGAAGCCTCTATAATGAAGGAACTGAATCCTTAACATATAATTATCACTGATTCACCACGGTAGGGAGGTAAATGATACAGACACTAAAATCAGCTTCATATCATTAGAAATAGAATCCTTACTAAGAAGATGAGAAAGATGATACCCTAGAATGCTCTTTTCAAATAAAAGGTTTTGTTTTGAGTAAATCTAACTTTCAAGGTTTTCTACAAGGTTAAAAGCTCATTAATTTAGATGCCACAAATTCTGAACTCTTGATAATAAAGCCTACTTTAAGCTAAATAGAAAGAATATTTTTGTCTGCATAAGAAAAAAAGCCTTTTGAGAATTGCAGTTTGCTATATATGGATACTTAAAACATATTAATTATAAATGATTCTTGCTATTTTAAAAAGTAGATTCCAAATGGCTTCTGCTTGGCCACACTTAAGTTTGCCTTGTATGCAATATTGGATCTCCTTAGAAATAATACATTATTTAAAATTACAGCCATGCCTATTTACTCAGCATGGTAGAGGCCGAGCATATTCTACTCAAGAGGGTTCTCTAGAGCAGGGTCCCCAACCCCCAGGCCACAAACCAGTACTGGTCCGTGGCCTGTTAGGAACTGGGCCGCACAGCAGGAGGTGAGTGGCAGGCTGTTAAGGGAGCAAAGCTTCTTCTGTATTTGCAGCTAGCATCCCTGCCTCAGCTCCACCTCAGATCATCATGCATTAGATTCTCATCGGAGCCCTGGTCTCTGGTGCCAAAAAGGTTAAGGACCGCTGATCTAGGGACAGAGCTCAAAGGCTGAAATAGTTACAGAAAGTTAGCATTGGAAAGAAAGGACATGGAGAATTCAGTGTTCCTCAAACTCTGCCAATAAAATCTTGAGTTTCATCTTAAAATTCATCTTGATTTTGTATTCTACTGCAGAATATTTATGTTTAACACGAAAATATGTTCTGTCTCCAATCTTAGAGTGCGACTGAGGGACCAGGGAGTTGTCCTACGTCTTCTTCTGTCGTTTGACATATCCCTGAACCTTCATTTGAACAGCTGGTAAAAATTCTTCACTTCTCTAGGAATCAGACTCAGAGAAGTAAAACGATTTGCCCAGAACTTGTTAGAGAGAGCCAGGATTGGAAACTGAGTCTGGACAGCCAGCAGCATGCTCTATGACAAGACTACACTTATTTCCTCTTAAGGAAATGTTTTTAAATTTCTCGCTCTTGAGGTGCTTGCCAAAAAGACCATCCACGAGAGTCACACGGCTGAAGAGAGCACCATTAGGCTGTTTCTAGTGGGTCTGGGCCTTGTAACATTTTCTGGTATCAAAGACCTTGGATGAAGTAGCAGTTCTTAATACCCAAAGCCAATTTCAAGTTGATAATGAGAATGTTCCAGAGACATCTGAACAGAAGTCTCGATGGAAAAAGTGAGACGAATAAGATAGCTGAACTTCTGAAGCACCATGGAAATAGCAATAAACAATTCCCAGCCCCAAATTTAAAAGAAAGGGGACTTAGCATCAAACAGTAGAGAGAAGCTTCCCCTTCTTGCAGCCTGGATCAAATTGCCAGTTTGGTGAGCTTTCTAAGAAAGCAGACCTGGGCAAAGAACAGGAAGACTAGTGGCAGAACAAACGTGTGCCGATCACTCCCCCTCCGGGAGCCTTCAACTTCCCATAGCATTCATTCGTCAGCACTCACTGAGCACCGACTATACACCAGACACCAAACTAATGTTGACCGTCAAGGATGAGACGACACAGGCTCAGCCCTCCATTAGCTCAAGGCCTGGAGGGGGCCAAATCCAGTGGTTTGTGTGCTGTCCTGGGGAGGAGTGGGGTGCTGCTGGAAACACTTAGGAAAGGCATTTTATCTGGTCCTGAGCGTCGGAGGAACCCTTCCGGAAACAAGAAAAGCAGGAATTCATCAGATGGAGGAGATGCATCCCTGCCCAGAGAGTAGCCCAGGCAAAGAGAAGGACAGAGACAGTATGTTCTGGGAGCTGTAAGTAGCTCCACATGGCTCAAGAGTGAGGTAGCGGGTAGGAGAATTGGTCGAGGTGCCAGTGGGGCTGAGAGATGGGAGAGGCCAGACCTGAAGGACTCCATGCAATAGATTAGAGTCTGAACTTCTCCCGAAATGGCTTAATAAGCATGAAGAGTGACATATTCAGATTTTCGTCTTAGAAAGTTCAGCTATATAGGACAATAGGAATGCTGATTAACTGTGGCTTGGAATAGACTGTCTGAAAGAAATGTCCACCACTTGACCGACTTTGACCCCTCCTCTTCAGTTTAAGCTTGCATATTTATGCATATTTATTTATTTTTATTCAAGAGAAGAAAAGAGGGAGGGCACGGGCATTTAATGTGCACGCACCACACTCCCTGCCTACATGAGACACTTTACTTATGGGATTTTTAAAGCAGATGTCAAGCAACCTTTCACTGCACAGAAAGGGAAATTTAAGATCTGAGAGGTTTAACAATCTGGTCTGATTCCAAGTGCTTTTTGTGATATATCATAATAACTCCTTTCAACATTTATTCCACTTTAACCACTGGATATGGAAATCTTTCTGAGAGAAGTAACATATATTTCTACCTTCCTAAAAACAGTGATTGATCATAATTTACCATTTGTTTCAAAGACTTAGGGTCATTATTACAACTCCTTATTACTATACTAGTTATAAAATTAATAATAATTCTTTAATTTCATCAAAGAGTGAGTCGATGTTCTAATTTGCAATTGTTTAAGACATCCCAAGATATTTTAATAATCTTTTTTGTCTCAACTGGATCCAAATAAGGCCCACACACTGCAATTGATTTTATCTTTAAATTTTTTTTCTGTTAATTCCCATCTACTGCTCTCACTTTCTCTTTCCTTGCGAGTTATTTACTGAAGAAAATTAGGCTGGCTGACAGAGTTGTCCAGAGTCTGTCTTTTGCATTTCCTGTAAATTGGCTTCTCTAGAGGTTTGATCAGATTCAGATTCAAAGGTGAGAGGGTCGTGTTCTCCCATTATGCAACACACATTTGCCTCTTCTGGTGATATTTGAAGCCTTTGCTAATCAATGCCTCAATGCCTCAATTTATTAGTGAAAAAATGGTGAAGAAAACTTTTACAATGTGTTTCTATACAGTGAGGCCCTAGGGGTGAGTCATGTATATTTGGTTGTTTGCTCTCAAACCAAATGACCGCAGATTGTGCTTACTGAATTTGTATCTTAATATGAATAATTTTTCTGTGTCTTCCTCATCAGCAATCACTTACTGATGTTTTCAGTACATCCTTGCCACTACGCAGTTCCTTCATCTTTTTGATATGTTGCTTCTAATCTGCTCTATCAACTGGGACCAGACAATTAAACTCATTGTAAAGATACAAATAAAATAATAGAGACTGGAGGGCTCTCTTATCAGGTCATGGGCATAGACATTAGTACACAGACTTAGTGATTCATTTCTGAGTTCTTGGCTCTGTCTACTGTTCAGTGTTAACTGGCCTCAGGAATTAGCGTGAATTACGTCAGTTATTCCTATATAAACTTTGCAGTCCGCAGGGAGAGAGCACACACATTTCAGGGCCTCATTTCCATATTACTATAAGGATTTTTCTCTCTTGGTTGCCCTGTTGCATCTCAGGGCCTCAACTAGTGCCCAGCACATACATGATATGGGCCGTAATGAACTGGTAGGAAAAAAAAAAAAAATCAATGAATAACAACAATAAGCTCCTAATTTGTATTTCTGTGTACAAATTTCCTTGCATGGTGACACTGGGTAATTATCCTAAAATTTTATATTGTATGGTGTTATTTGATGGCCTAACACTCTAAGGGCTTCCTCTGGCTGGTAAGCTTTCCTGCACAGCAACCCTCTTACTGTACTTTCTACCCTTCTTCCTGTGTCTACACTGCAGTACACACTACTGGCTGCTCCCAGATTTTTTTTCCCCATTGAATTCTATCCAGTGTGCTTTGAAACACACACCAAATCCCATTTTGTCGTTAAACATTCCTTAAGACTTCAGCCTCCACTGACCCTGCACTTCTCCTACACAATTAGAGCAGGAAGCTCCTTTGAGAAAACACTTCCGCACTTTCCACAGTACCCGCTCAAGGACATGTCAGTAAACAAACGTGAGTGTTCACAGAGGAGAACGCTGGGCACAAGAGGTTTTAAATGATAAAGCGCATTTCAATTACTCTAGACTTAAATAAAATTAGTACAAATCAATACATCTTTAAACTTTTCCACCAGTGGAATACTGATGAAAGGAGGCCTTATTAACTTCACGTCCCTAGTAGTTTGGAGAGTGACTGGGGTATGAGAAAAACTCAGAGGTGTGAGACTTTTATCAAGAACCCATGTTTTATATTAAAACTGGTAACGTATTTTCCATTCTACTTCACAATACATTTATTTTCATGAAGAAACACACCCCTTCCCACCCGTACCCCAAACATTAAAGACTACAAGAGAGGTGCCCTATTTATTCCGGGCCTTTAAACCTCTCCCGATACATCACCAGGAAACATGCCCACCTTGCTTGGAGAAGGACTGAGAAAAATTAATGTACCTAAAGTTTACGACAGGAAAAGGTCACTGCTTGGTTTCTTGTGATTTCTCTCAGTGATATCACAAACTGATATGTTCCCTTAGATTTACAAAAGGGCAAAATTCAAAGTTTATAAGCAGTGTACTGGGTCTTCAAACACGTGTGGCAGGTAGGATATTCCAGACCAGCCCACGTATCATGAGCAGGGGTGTTTGGTGGCCTCCTGCAAAGGCTCCCAGCATCGTGGTGGGGTTCAGAAGACGGGCTCTCTAGGCCACGGATAAAAAATAAGAGAGAAAGACCACAAAAATGATTATCAGGTGGGGGGCGCAGATCTGAAAAGAATAAAATGGAAATCATCTCTCATCTAACGCAGTGTTGCAGAAGGCGAAGACACTGTCCCTTCTTATCAGCCTGTTCTGACTTGCACTGTCCACCAGTGAGTGGCTCCTGAGCACTCAAAACATGGCTAGTGTGACCGAGGAGTATTAAATTATATTAAATTTTAAAAAGTGACACCCAATTCAGTTATTCAAAAGCTTTTGAAAGCATGTTTGGAACATTCTGAGTATGTGAATCTACTCTTCTAGTTGCAAATTTTATGAACTCTAAATGCAGATTATTTCCAGTGAAAATTGAGCATTTTATTTGAGATGAGATCTAAGTCTAAAATGCACCCCAAATTTCAAAGTCTTAAACCAAAAATATGTAAAATATCTCCATAATTTTTAAAATTAAAAATTACATGTTGAAATAATAATATTTGGGTATGACCTAGTAAGTAAATTATTGGGTCAAAAATGTGTGTCATTAACATTAGTTTTACCTATTTCTTGTTACTCTGAAAAACATGGATATTAGAAAATATAAAATTAGTATGTGGCTAATTTTATATTTCTATTGGACAGCACTTTATTTAGACAAAAGTTTTTGAAGAAGCAGCTCTCTTTGAAAAAAGCTGATGGCTTTCCACACTCCAGACTTCCTAGTGTCCATTCAAAAAGAGTTTAGCTTTCTCCCTACAAAGCGGCATAAAATCCTTTGCTTAGAATCAGTACATAGTATGTTTCAATGGCTTGGGGTATTTTCTAAGCACAAATAGTTATCCATCCCATCACAGTCAAATGTCCTATTCTTTCATTCCACATCTACCTAAAGCAGCCTTCAGAGACCATATTTTTGATAAGAGGCTTCACATCTAGGTCTCCTCTGTTTGTGTTTCTACTCCCTGAGCGTAGGAAACTACAGACCTCCCTGGTCTTGGGTTTTCATAAACACTTGGCACTCGAGAAGTTCTGGAATAGTTGATAGGTCAGCAGCAGGGGCGGCAAAGACCGCCCCCCTCCTCCTATTGTCATGTGACATGTGGGTGAGGCATTGAGAGATTGGGATCTTGAATGAGACTGGCACATTTGAAAGTAAGCTCTGCCCAGTACCAGTTGACCTAGGGCAAGTTACCCCTCCTGTGTGCTTAAGTTTCCTCATCTGAAAATGGGGATGAAAATAGTACCCACCACATAGGTTTTAAACATTAAATGACGTAACACATATATAGTGCCAAGAGTAGTGCTGTGCTTATAATAAGAACTCAACACATGTAGTTATTGTGGAATGTGTAAGGATGGTTGGTGGCAGTCAGCAGAAGTCCAAAGTAACCTCTCCTTGTTTTGTTCCCTGAACTTGCTAGCTCCATGGCTATGATTAACCTGTATTACACCTACAATTACACATTTGCAGATCTCACAATAAATCAATAACCAGTCTGTGTTGGCCACTTCCTGCACAGGTGGCTATATTAATTCAAAAATGAATATGCAAAATTAACAAGCCTCATATTCTAAATTTTAGGGATCAAAAAATATGATAAAATTTCATATTTTGAAAGGCTAGGTTCATATTAGAAACATCTTACTAAATCTAGAATATTCTTTCACATCTTCTTGGCTCTATACTCATGTCAATCCAGCATCTTATCCTCTTCAACAGCAAACCCCTCCAGTATTCTCGCAAAGGCCTCTGCAAATAGAAGCTCGAATTCTGAGACTCATGAGACTAGGTCAACAAAGAACATTGAAAAATTCCACCAAGTGCATAATAAAGCCCAGAAAGCCTCTAAGACTGCAGTCAGAAATGTTAGAGTGAATCAGTCCTAAGCAAGGGTATGGGCTTTTTTGATATACAGCAATAAACAAACAAACAAACAAACAAACTTCCCTACTTACTATGATCATTTTTCTCTGCACTCGCCATGCCAAAAGGAAAACATAATTAGGAGTATGAGTAATTACTGGGTGACCAGATGGCACGGATGAAGGATACCACCTAAGGAGGAGGTGCAAATGGAAACGGCATGTGTCTAACCAGCATGTCTGGGGAATGTCAATGCCTTCAGATTACGTCATCATGTGAATCTGGCCACCCGCACGCACAATTTAAAGACAGTAAATAGTAAGAGACTTCCCACTGCCCCTTCAGAAAGCAGAGCTGGACAGGGCCCTCTGCATGGCCCAGCCAATGCCCACCCAGCCACGGCGGCAGCACCAATACCTGTAACAGACACTGTCTGTGCAGGGGTTGTGGACCCTGACAATGACGAAAACATGCTGAAAGTGAGATCGGATGTTTTTCGGGCTGAATGGCTGTGCTCCAGGCTCTTGGAAAACAATTGTTACAATATCATTTCCAATGTGCCGCTTCCGTAGGAGCTAAAAGAAAAAATAAGCAAACAACACAAATGACAATGCCCTTCTTTCCTACCTTCAATTCCCTTGTGCAATTGTGTTTAAAACATTTGTTATTAATTAGTACATATTAGGGTAGGTAATCTATACAATTATTGTCAGTATTTTAGCCTGTGCTATCATTCCCTCCAAGGAAAGATATGGAAATAAATATTCTGAAATTTGCATAACATATATAGCCCATTCAGATAGATCCATCCAATATCTGGCATATTATACCAAGACCCAGCATCTCCAAATCCTCAGTTTCCATAACAACAGTTTTGTTCCATTTTCATATAAGAAAGGAACCTGCCATAGGAAAGATTTTTTAGTGATGGGAATGGCTGAAGTAATTACAACACAATTTATCTTCTGGTTTAATTAGCTTCATTTAAAGAAATGCGGCTAAGGTGTTTTCTGATCTGCTTTTTGTGTCACAGGCTGGGAATACAGAAATTAATAATATTCTGGAATCTTCTAACAATTTAAAAGAAGGTAAAATTTTAAGTTGAAAGAGCTTCTTTAATTACAGTGAAAGCTGCTTAAGACCACCTTCTATTTCATATTAAATGGTGCTGTGGAAAGGTGGCCTTCAAATTCAGGCACCCGGAATCATCTTAGGTGAGTATCTTTTCAAGATGGGTTTATTAGTTTAATTCAAGAGTGTGAAGAAAAATTAAACAAAGTTTGTATTTTTTATATTTATTATATGGAGGCTTTTACAAGGAGGAAAATAACATGACATTTATATAAACTACCCATCATTCAACATAAGACCTCATTTATAAACTTCAAAAAAATTCTACAGTGACTTTAACTTACATAAACTAGTAAAATCAGTGATCTAGTATAGGCTGCCAGCTGGGAGAAACAATTGAGAATTGAGAGCTAGAATGTTCAGGAAATGTACTTTTAACCTTAGGAATTTTAAAGCATCCCAAATTATCTTCTAATGAGGCCATTTACTTCATTTCCAAACATATCAGATGTTATAGAAATAAAGGCTGGCCCCATATCGACTGCTGTACAGAATACACCCATTATTAAAGATTATTAATCTACTCAGGATCATGGACATACCAAAAACACATACAATTTGTTTGTATATCATGTCATTCTTCATAGATGATGTCACTGTCTTTTTAGTGCAATGCCAGTCTTTCTTCAAAATATGTCTTGATATGTAATATTAATGTCTTAATAAAGGCCCCAAATAAAAATCAATCCATCCATCTACCTTATATTATATATAATGGAAGATAGTATTTATAAATCCCTGCAAAAAGATTTTAAAAGATACAGTCTTTCTGTTTTTTTTCCAAGCATAAAGTAACCTAAATAGAAAAATAAATTCTTTAGCTAGAAAACTAAAAGTTCTTAATATGTAGCAGCACCAATTACTCTTTCATTCTGATTTAGGACCATAATACTTTTGTCTTGATTGTACTCCAAAATTAAATAATTTGGAGAGCCACCCATTTAGATGTCAACTCACTCTGCTCAGCAGTTCAACTCAGTTAGAAGTAAAAAATTGATTTTTGTTACTAAATACTTTACCAACTACTCTGTCACCTTTCTCTGCTGAGCAATCAGGCAGAATGAGCCTTTATCTCCCCTTTAAAGATCATTCGTTAAATGTTTGTACTGACTGGCCAGAATAAGAAGTTTAGTATATTTTTCTTAGCATGATGTTTTCCTCTCAGAGAAATCTAGAACTCGGAATTTGCATAAAACAAATAGTTCACAAGCTCCAGATCAGGAAATTTATCTTAAAATAGGTTTATTTCAAAGTTATAGTTGATTCATTGCTTTGCTTCCTATTTTTGATTACTATGGTAATCACAAGAGGCAAAATTTTATTACCTAGATTTGTGATTTAATCAAACCTAAAGTGATGAAGTATTAGATTAGATCCGTGTTTGGTTAAATTCTATGAGAGAGGATGTGATTCATTCCGCAGCTGGCCTATGTTGTTAGCACAACAATTGACAATAACAAAATCTATATCCATTTTAAGGTCAGAAGTAATGGTAGACTGCTTGTGTTTACAGTAGCTATTGAAAGGAGAGTTTGTTAGCTCTCTGGTTCTTTTAAATTTCAGTTTGGTTTCATTTTGAAATATTTTTTAAAAACAACCACCACATACTCTCTAAAACAATACTGCCAGTTTCCATTTTACTCTGTAACAATCTGTCATTTCTTGGTTTCTGCATTGTATTTTCTCACTAAGTTTTAGTAGTAGGCATTGTGCTTTTAGGTCTTTTAAAAAGAAACTCTGTATATGATATACATAAATGCAATTGCTATTTATGCTCCTTGCTATCTCCTGACAAATATGCCAAAAAAACATTTTTCTGAGACCCTATTGATACTTATTTTGATTTTTCCCCATGTTTGTACACCAAACCGCCTTTGCAATATGAAATGAAATATTGGTACTTTCCTGCTTCGTACATTAGCCTTTTGAGATGAAACTTCACCCACTCCTACATGTTCTTTGCAACCCTGCAGAGTCATCTAATCACCATGATTTCAACTTGTTCTCTTCAGATTTCATGAAAACCTCAATCCCCGTGGGTGAAAAGCAAACGATTAATTCACAAAGCCATCCAGCTGGCTGTTAACCTAGAATTTATGTCTCTTCATTTGTTTTCAGCTCATTTGTTATTCTTACTTCCACAAAGTACAAAGCTTCCTGCTGCTGTGACAGGTGCAACATTAAATTCTGGTTTAAGATTTTACAAACTTGCCACTTAGGCTTCTTGGGGAAATGAAACGAGGGTGAAGAAACATGGATAACACACGGTTCTCTTACCTGTTGCTTGTTGTTAGGTGTGTACGGCAGCATGGTAGAAACATGGAACATGATTTCATAGTCCTTGTATGTGGTGTATAGAGAATGGGTTCCAGTGGAGTCAGCTACGGCAAAAAAAAAAAAATATATATATATATATATACATGTATATAAAAAATGATGAGATGACTATAACAATAGGAAAAACAGTTCATTTAAGAGAAATATCTAAAAGAAAAAAAGAGATAGTTTAAGATGAAAAGATCCTAGACAAGACCTAGAAGAGGTGTTCTTATCCATTTTTTGTACCGATCCCCTTTGGCAGTGTTGTGAAGCTAATGGACCGCTTCTCAAAGTAATATTTGTAAATGCATAAAATAAAATTTCAACAGAAATCAATTGTATTGAAAAATGCAGTTATCAAAATAATTTTAAAATATATTAGCATAAGATTTATGTAACAAATTTTAGCAGTTGGTCTAATAACTACTATAAATCTGTAGTAGTGATATATGCCTAAGCAATATTTTGAGACACCTCCAATAATAAAAAACATGATACGAAAAGACCGGTGCTTTCTATTGGCAACAAAATCAGAGGAAGAGCTTATATGAACTACTCTGGTTTGCTGCCTGCATCTATAATTGAAGGAAATACTAAATTTCAATTAGGGGTCAGTGAAAATAAATGTAAAATTATTTCCAATCCAAGTTCACAGACCTCTGAATTCTGTCCACAGGCATCAAGTTAAAAACATCTTTTCTAATACTTCTGATTCAAGCAAGAGAACTGTTTTGTACTTAATAGAAATTTAACAAGACTGTAACACTGAATAACAAAGATATTATAGCAATGTCCAACAATATTTTAAGACTGAGTGTGTTCTGTTCTCACCTTCCTTAAGGAAAAAAACAACCTCTACCCCCTTAATCATTAACAAATCAATGTGCCCATATATACCAGAAAGCCAGAGCATTATTAACTGCCCAATTGAAAAGGAGTATCTTCAGACTCGAAGGACCTGGCATTCCGGGCTGCAAAATGAACAGAAGTGCACTCATTCTGAGTCAACTCAAACCTCCATGAACCACACTACTGACGCCCAGAACACTTTTACTGCATTTTAGAGAATGATGCTGTAAGACCAAGCCTCTGGCATATACCAAAAGGCAGCAGTTTTCAAAATTTAGTATGCAAGGAGTATCTTCAGACTCGAAGGACCTGGCATTCCGGGCTGCAAAATGAACAGAAGTGCACTCATTCTGAGTCAACTCAAACCTCCATGAACCACACTACTGACGCCCAGAACACTTTTACTGCATTTTAGAGAATGATGCTGTAAGACCAAGCCTCTGGCATATACCAAAAGGCAGCAGTTTTCAAAATTTAGTACTCCTGCAGAGTCACTTGGGGCACTAGTTAAAAGGCACTACGCACTCCTGCAGAGTCACTTGGGGCACTAGTTAAAAGGCAGATTCCCATGTCCAGAAACCTGGGAACACTGCTCAGTGGGAGTGGGGCTGGGCAGAGGAATCTATTTTAATAAACATCCCCAGGGTGATGGTAATGCAGTCACTCCACTGCCCTCAGGCGCTGCTTCAAGAATAGACCACAAGGGTGGCTTGAGGTCTATTACAGACAGACGTGTAAAGAGACTCTAGAGCCCTGAATTTCAACCTCGAGCTTCTTGGAGGATCTTAATTTTGAAGGAGACATAAAATGCAAATGGTTTTAAAAACAAGCTGAAAGAAGAATAAAGCAAAGACTACTTTTCAAAAATTGTAAAAATATGTACCAACATATAACTCCCCAAGAAAAATATCTTCTAAATGTAAACGATTGCCACCACAAAAAAATACAAGTTACTATAATAAATAATTGAACTATTTAAGACAGGTCTTGAGTCTGAAGAACTTATCTAGTGCTTGCCCTTGCTATAAATACCTCTAGGATGGATGAGTACATTTTAAAACTTTTAAGTGAACATGTCAGCTTTGACATGTACTTACATGTGTTTCAAGTCCATTTTAAGCAAAATTAATGAACTAGAAAAAAAGGCTGTCATCCAAGTATTCATTTATTACATTTTGCTCTATATGTCTGTCTAATTCTAAAAGAATTACTACCAGAGAGGAAAACTGAAGACAACCCTGAAGATAATTTGTTTTTCTACTTCTAGTCCTTTCTCTTTCTTCTGCATGCCTCATTTTATATAATATATGCTGTTTGACCAGCCTTTTTCTGGGGATCTTAAGAGACTTCAGTTTAGTCGATAATTTAAAACAACCTGGAAACAGTTCCAAAAGTTTTAAAGATGAAACTAGGACACAAACAATGAAATTTGCCTTCTAAGAAGAAAGGAATTCTCAAATCTTGAAATTACTATGTGCATAATAGAATTGCTAAACATTTGTAGAGAGAATGGAAAATGAAGGTTCACTAAAGAATAAGGCATCCAATATTGCTGTTATATTTTTAATGACCTCGAAACCCTGAAACCATGAAAGATTTAACAGAAAGATAATCAGGAAAATGACAATTAGGAAAAGTGACAAAAATCCTTTTTTATTCTGGTTGGAGAGAATATACATTGAGTAATTTCTAAAGAGAAAATATGCCTGGAGAAGAGGAATTTTCGAAAAGATAATGATCCTTCATATTTGTATGGAGCTTTAAAAGTTGAAAAGTATATTCAGGCACCTTACGGGTCATCTTGATAATCACGTGATGTACCTTTAAATCATCCTGCCAAAGCGGCATATATCCAGTAATAAGGTCAGCACTCCACACTAAGCCACATAAAGTAAAATTTCTAATATTCCAACGAGATGATAAGAAGGCAATGAATAATTGAAGAATGATAAGAACGTTCTTCTCAGCTGCTTTGAAAATAGATAAGTGATAATATCCCATATCACGCATTTCTATTGGAAGATGGTATGAACAGGTTAATAAGTTTGTAGAGCAGTTTCAGATATAATGTTATATTCATCCTTGACTTCTTTTCAGGCTCAACTCTTTCCTTTAGGCAATCTAAAACTTGGATGAAAAAAGTGTACGTGCATGAATCTGAATCAAGAAAAGCTAGTCAGACTTCTATATAACCATCTTTCGGTCATTAATGGGTATGCTTGAGTTAGAAAAGCTAGATGAAGTAAAAGAAGCCTATGCAATTGATTCTTGGAAAGTTTCTAGTTTAAAATATTTATGAACACAAGGAGAAAAGTAATCTCATTAACTAAATGCACGTAGACTAATGAGGTCAATAGAATGAACAAAGCTTAAGCTCAGTTTATTAATGTCCTCTCCACTATAAAACACGTCAAATGCAAGATGAAATCAGAGACAGGTTATGGGTCTGATTCTTATCCATAGTTTGAAATATTATAATAGCCAACTGGCTGCTGGAGTCAGCTGATTAAGACCTCCAGATCTCCCATCTACGCACTCCTGCCTCAGGGCCTCGGGGTACAGAAGTCAGTGCTTAGAACACAGTCAGGGAAAAGTATTGACATCTGGAACACTGGCATGAACTTGTAGGGCTCTTTTACTTACTCACTAATGAAGTATTTGGGTCGGTCAAGAATTCCACTTGTTACAGCATCTACCATATTTACTAATATTTTTTCAGTGTACCTTTAACCATGGTCAGGAGATGAGTTACTTTACTTCAATGAGGATGGGATCAAGAAGAGTCTGTAGTACTACCCTTTGCCATGACAGGCAAATTCATAGTGTCAGTTCAAGGAATGTGTGAGTGTACATGTGAATGTACCTAGGATTCCAGGCTTCTCAAATCGCTAACATATTGAGAAGAAAAGACAAGACAAGGTGTGGGGCTGGTGCTTAGGAATCAGCCATTTACTAGTTTCTACCTACTTCTCACTTTGTAAGATACCTGCAATTACCCTGATTCTCAACTCGGAAGTAAGAAGGTATGAATCTGAATGCCAGGAGCATCATTTGCTACTTACCACAAGCAAGTCACTCCATGTCTCTGCCCTGCTACAATCTCACTGTTCTGAGGATTATGTGAAATAAAGTACATGAAAGCGCTAGCTTGTAGAAGATGCTCAAAAAATGTGTTGATTAGAATTTAGAATTTTGTACAGTTGAGGTAAAAAGTGTATTTTCCTTAAATAGGGACTTTTATATATTTTAATTTCTTTGCCAAGTGTACCTCAGGAAATGTCAAAGAAAAAAACCATACGCTATAACACAGTTCAAAGTTAAGGAGGTGAAAAAAGAATCCTTTTCTTCATTATCAGTCTCTAGAACTCCAAATAGCCCTTTGCATGTGCAAAGCATCTAAACAATGCTGGTTTTATCCCTTTCACTATTCATAGTTTAAATATTCCAGATAAAGAATCATTTATTTTCTTTATGGAAAGTCTTACATGTGTTCTAAGACTCTGAATCTCAATGGTTTTTACAACGAACACTGCTGAATAATGGGAGAAGCAACAAGCATCCACTAATACTGCAGCAAATTAATGAAGGCTTTGAAGGAATGCTTTATAAGGGCTACTAAGTCTTCTACATGTTGACTTGACAAACAAGCCTCAGTAAGGAAATAATTTCCCAAATAATAATCCATATGCACAGCTTAAAATGAGGGTGGTCTCCAGCTTTTAAATAACAGATGGCTTGTTGAGAAGTTTATTTTTGTATTTACTGTAGTGTGAGAAGATTGTAAATATATAGAGGTAATGTCATCTAAACAAGGAAACAGGAACAAAAAAACCACTACCGCAAATTTCTTCATCATAGAATTGTTACAACCTCTGACACTATTGTAGCTTATTTGCTAGAAATTCTTATTTCTGAAGGGAGGGGGGAAGAAATGGTTCAATAGCTCCATCAATCCTTCCTTCCCTGAGCCTCTCCCTCCTTTACCAAAGTACTAAAATCTGAATATAATTATAATACATGACAAGCAGAAATTCCGTGCAAAGGCTTGGGTACTTTTAGCCCAACAGCTGAGAAAGGGAAAGACAGAGCCACAAGACAGATCTCTGGGCTTCACTGTACTTAATTCTACATTTATGCTTTCTCTGAATATTTCATTAATTATACCACTAGGATCTGTTCATTTTCCCTGATGCTTACTAGCTGTCTAACCTTGGACAGTTGGTTAATCTAAAGAAGCCAATTCTGTAAAATGGGGATAACTGGTATCTAGCAAGATTTGTGGGAATTACATGAGATGGCATATATAAAAAGTATCTGGGACCTCTACTTCTGGCTATATAACAGGACTTGGTACAGGATCTGCCCCTGCCTTATAAATAACTAGAAACGTTGAGAATATGTCTGAAACAACTGTTGTGACATAGGCAGCATTGGATAGTGATCCCAGAGAAAATAGAATCAAAGGTGATCCTTGTGGTTCCACCTGGCTTTCTTCTTGGAGGTACTTTAGGAACAATGGCACAGAGCAGGGCTTCAAAGAGGGAAGCTAAAATAGGCTGGAGGTCAGGTAGCTAATATTTGGTGAGCAGAGTACCAAAGAAGAGGACTACCCAGAGGTTCAAGATCTGCACAGGGGTTCCCCTAACAAGCAGGCAGAATATTAAAGTGCATACACATAGAATGAAATTCCAAAGCCAGGCAAAGAAAAACTATTAGTGAACGAACCACTATCAGAGAATTGCAAGCCAAACAATTCTCACAATTCACACAGGGATGAAGACATTTGAATTCTGAGCAGCCACAGCAGAGATACCTCATTGAAAATGCAGATTTTCAAATATAAGAAAAGTCATGCCTTGACAGGAAGGCTACCTTAGTCAGAGAGTAAAGGCTACTCTAGGTATGCTTCAAAAAAGCTTAAAAATAAGATTCATAAAGATCAGACTGTTCTATAATTAACTGCCTTCCAAAACGAAACCCAATACTCTTTAAAGAATCCATACAATCAACAGTGAAACATTCACAATGTCCAGTATCTAATCAAAAACAATCAGACATGTGAAGCAGAAAAATGTTAACTCAAAAGCTGGGGAAAATCCCAAATGAGAGGGATGATGGAATTAGCACACGAAGACTTTAAAACAGCTATTATAAATATGTTTAACAATTTAAACGACAACGTGAACCTAATGAGGAGGAAACAAAAAATATAAGAGAATCAAATGCAACTTCTGGCTCTGAAAATTACAATATCTGAAATGAAAATTTCATTGGATTGGATTAGCAGACTAAGACACTGTGAAAGAAAAGAAAAACACAGTGAACTTGAATACATATTTATAGGAAGTACTCAAACGAAGCGCAGAGGAAAAAAAGGTTAAAAAATTAAATCAACACAGTCTTATTAACCACTGGAAAACTAGTAAGTGATCTAATATATGTGTAATTGGAGATTCTGAAAGGGGGAGCATAAAAAAATAAAGAAATAGAGATTAGCAAATGATATTTTAATTTGATGAGTACTACAAATTCACAGATCCAAATGACATGCACACTGCCACATGTAGAGGGCATAATCCTTTAGAAAAGCTTGTTCTCTCCTTAAGGATTATATTGAAAGAGTTTCTTGACACAAAATAAAGTTAGATAAAGTGAGGTGAGATTATCTCACAGCTCACCTAGCAAAGTCTCATCTCTGGGTATGCCAATGGCCAGTAAGAGGCTACTGGGGTGTGCGGGGGCTGGTTGTTCCCGATTTCTATGGTCTGTTATTGTTTAATATCTGTTTAAATGCTGAGACTAATGGTCTCTTCTAGTTTTTGACCATATTAGCTTGGAGTAAAAGAGATAACTATGCATACTGCCTTCTTCAGGGTTTTAGAACAAAAACACTTTGCTACTTTTCATTTACTTTAAGACACTTGACACTGGACATGGTTCCATAGTTTAGTGCTTAGCACGTCTGTTTTACAGCAGAAGGTCTTGGGTTCGTACCCCAGTGGAGCTGCGGTCCATGGTCTATGGCCATGCCACCCTGAACAAGCCTGATGTCTGATCTCGGAAGCTAAGCAGGGTCAGGCCTGGTTAGTACTTGGATGGGAGACCACCTAGGAAGACCAAGTGCTGTAGTCATAAATAATAATAAACAAACAAACAAACAAATAAACAAAAACCTGACACTGAAAAAGCAGAAAACTATGAATTCTTCTGCTTACGAACTATGCCTCGAAAGGTTAGAGCCTTAAAGGACAGTAGTTTAGTTAAAAGGAACCCTTCCTTGCTGAAAGTATTATGTAACTATAAAACTGTGCAGTTAGAAGCAGTTTGCTAATCCAGGCTCATCCCCCTCTCGTCTTCACAGTTACTGGATATTGGAACGAAACATGCAGAATGCTTAGTTTGCTTATTCCACTGCCTACTTGATGTTGCATTGCTTAAATATGGGACTTGGCTATATATTTCTCACATTCCCCTTTATCATCAAGAGGTGGCTGGGAATATGGAAATACACAAATAATATATAATCTCTTCTACTCCCAATCTGGCCATTCATTTATAGCAGTTGTCCCCAGCCCCTGGGCTATGGACCCGTACTGGTCCATGGCCTGTTAGGAACTGGGTTGCACAGCAGGAGGTGAGCGGCAGGCAAGGGAGCAAAAAAGCTTCATCTGTATTTGCAGCCATTCCCCAGCGCTAGCATCACTGCCTCAGCTCCACCTCAGGGCATCAGGCATTAGATTCTCATAGGAGCACCGGTCCCCAGTGCCGAAAAGGTTGAGGACCACTGATTTACAGAATCAGGGTGCTAATTACATTCTCTTCCCAGACCCTTTCAATAGCTCTCTGTGGTAATGATAATTTATATGACACAACAAACAAATTGAGACAACATGAATGACTTGTACAGGGTAACTGTCAGAATATCTGGATAAAAAGAGTTTAACAGCATACTGAGATTTAACATTTTATGCAGTTGCAAGTAGAGTATGGAACATTAAAATAATGTTTAAGAGTCTAGGCTATTTATGGGGTTTAATAGTCTCTTTCGCACGTTGTTTCCAAGTTGGCAACAGCAAAACCATGGCAACAGGAAATTCTTCCCTGCAGTAGTTTATGAATGCTTTTGTTTTCATGACTCAACTCCTTATTTAATTTCCGGTACAGAAAACCAGAGAGATTACTATAGACTGCAATACAGATGTGCTAATCTACAGACCTCAAAGAAAAACAGGTCACAGGTGTCTATAGATGGATTCTGAGATAAAATTTAAAATTGCCTCCATGTGACACACAGCAGAAGTCAACATATTCTAACCAAAATAGATACTTGAGAACTAAACTACTGTATTAACGACTTGGGGAATGGGAATGGGACTTGGGGAACGGCCTATATGTTCATGAGCTATAAGTAAACAGATTGCTTCACTATTGTGCATTATTGTGCTTTTAATCAACACATTTTACGAGCCAAACTAATACCAAAGCGAAGAAGTCTATTTTCTTAGGGATTAAATTAGACTATGGACAATAATAATAGAAAATAAACAAAAATCCTCCTAGACATTAAAAAAATACAAAAATGAATGATAAACCCTACGAAGGCAGACTACGAAGATAAGCACAAGGATTATGAAATGAATTAATGAAAGTAAAATATTCTTGAGCTTACGACCTGATGGTTATAAGTTGCTAGAGTTTTTAATCACTTTAACATTCACCTAAATATAGAGAAATCCGTGCAACACTATCCAGGAGCAATTCTGCATGACCTGCATCCCCTGCTCGACTCCACCCACACCTCTGATAACAAACACTGTTTTGCAGTCCAATCCTAGCTGCTTGGATTATGGTCTTCAATTGTCCTGGAGCCACACCCTCCCTCTCTGGCTTCCTCTCCTCCATCAGCAGCAGTTTTCTGCAATAAATGGCAATGCTGTTTTATGGGTAATTTAGCAGATGAACATGAACACAGCAGGAGGAAAAATAAGCCTGGTGTGAGGGTATAAGTATTTTTTACTTTTGGTGTCAAGCTGTGCACGATACTTCTCGAATCCTTTGAGCCGAATGCGTTCTCCCAACAGCTGAAGGAATTCCTCAAAGGCTGGGCCAGCTGATTCATTGTTGTACATCTCTTCTTCCGTGCTCTGTCCAGCTTTGCAGTACATGATGCCGACTTTCTGCTGATAGTTCAGCTGTGAAGACAGGAAACACAATGCAAATAAAGAGAGGCAGATCCACTCTGGCCCACTTAAATGCTAATAAGTCTTATAGGGCAAATGCCCATCAAATAGCTAGTACCTCCCTTCTCTTGAATTCTGTCTTTGATCCAAAAAATACAGTAGAGCAAGCATTTGTAATTATAATTTTCATAAAATTAAGAGGAAAGGCCAGAAAAATAAATTAAAATCATGCATCATTAGAACAGATGTTAATACTTTAGGGAATTTGTTAATGGATTACAAAGTACAAAATAAGGCTATAAAAAACAGCCTGACAACAAAAGACAATTCTTTTTCAATGATTTCCCTTTTATAAAAGAGAGGTCTTTATAAACGTAAAGATAGAAGTCTATTTTACAAAAGATATTTTAAAATAAATTGTTTTGCTCTAAAAAGCCATTAAAATCCTTGATTTTTTTTTAATAGGAAAAGATTTATCTTCCAATGCTGTTTTTCAAGTGTATTAAATTATAAACCTCAGTTATATCTTTGTTAGAGCAATAGCGTCATCAACAATGCCCTTTTTTCAAATATTTTTCTAAAAGATGAGTGTCTGGATAGAAACTTTAAAATGGCAAATCAGCTGGTGGCAAATATTTCTTCCTCAGATACAGTTAAAACGAAGCATTCAAAAGATTTAAATATGATGAAACAATCAAAACATTTACTCATCATTGAAAAGTCTAATCGTTCTGTAAGCAAATTTTAAGGTGGTGTTAGTCAACAAGCAAGAAGTGAGTTCTCAATATAAAAATTTAGACTTTTAATTCTCTAGCGATATAGGCAATCCGTATCACTAAGGCCTATTAGTGGCACTGCAACCACTACCTCAGCAAATTTTTATCTAATGGAAAAAAAGGGAGGAGGGAAGAGGCAAAATTTTAATAGCTAACACGTAATGAATACCCATTCTATGCCAACCACTATGTTTGGTGTTAGCATTGGCTTATCCTCACAACAGCCCGTGAAGCAAATATTACCCCTGTTTGACAGTTAAGCAAAGAGAAGGTCAGAGAATAGAAGAGAAAGTAACTAGCCCTAAGGGAGAGACACAAGATCACAACTGTCAGTCCTGTGATTCGGCTCTATTAAATATTACCAGGACTCAACAGGCTTGTCTTGCTCTATTTCTATCACTGCAACATATGTCCACAGCCTCGTATTTGCAATTCTGAAGTTGAAGGTAAAAACTAAATTTAAACAAACACATTTGGCAGCAAAACTTGGTATGAGCTGACATTAGTACTTTTAATTTATTCTTCTTTATGTGAATATTCATATTTTTCCCTGTGGAAATACTAATGTATTTGATTGTGGGGCGCTGCTCCAGATCCCACTGGGAATATTACTAGATGGTGCTTGCATTTTATTACCCTGCTAAAATCTGGACATTTCTGAATTCTGAAACATATCCAGCTCTTATAGTTTTGCACAAGGGACTGTGAAGCTGAACAGCTCTTTTCAACCTTCTGAACCAAAAGTTTCAGAATGGTTAATAGTGATAACATATAAAATGCCATGGGGAAAATCTGCTTGCTTCATCCCCGCCCCCCCGCACCCCCCGCATCTAGTGCATGCTATGTAGTTGACAAGGAAGCTCAGAAGCCTTTACGAGACCTGTGAGAGTTCCCCAGGAGGTCTCTAGCTGCACAGAACTGACTACCTTGCTTACTCCAGAAAGTGAAGGGTAAAGTCCCAAGTCTGAAACCTGCCAATAACAGGATATACTGATATTGGAGTCTTTTTTAAATAGCACACAACCTTACGTTACTGCGGCTTCATTGTAATTATTAACAGAAATGGAGTTAGGACTTAGTTCATTTTGTATACCACATGCAGGAAAAACTAAACAAAAGGAATCTCAGTAAAATCTACTGCACGCCACTGACATTTCAGCCTTCCCCAGCTGGCCTGCTTCAAAGGTCTGAATGTAGCTAAGGCTTGGAGGGGAACTCCCACAGGTAGAGATTTCATCTTGGCTTTAGAATTAAGCTGAGTATCCTATCAGGTCTCAACAAACAAAAAAGTAGTGGTAAGCTCTATGTCTCTTACAAAAGAAGTCCTTAATACAGCCAGCTCTTTACTCTCTCTGCAGAGAGAGCTGAAGCAATCCCAAGAAAGGAAGGGGCTTTGAGTTATTTGCTGTTTGGCTCTGTGGCTCCCAGATCAGCCTTCTCAAGCAACAATGTAAGACAAAAGTCAGCCTGTTCAATAGAAAGCATCAGTGACACTGGATTTGTGGACTGCTTTTCAAAACTTCTTAAAGGCCTAAGACTTCACTGTGCAACATTCAAAAGAATTCATTTATTTTTTTTTTAAAAAAAAAGAAGAAGAAAGAAAAAGAAAGGAAAAAATAGGCTCACCGTAGAGAGAAGGAAACCCCCAAAACCACTGGAGAAGCAGAATCCAAGGACAATGAGACAATGAGCCATTTTGTTTGGACTAATTTCTTATAATCCAGTGAACTCTACCTGCCCATAGAAGAACAAACTGGTTTTCACTGGCTGTGAAAGGAAGGCTCCTTTAAGAGAATTAGGAAATTTGTTCGAATGTCAAATTTCCTCTGGTTTGAAACTGCCAAATGTCACTGCTCTATCCTCTCAGGTGACAATATGACTCTCTCCTTGCTTTCTACTGCAATTAAATCAAGTAGGTGGCATTCTCTGAACTCAAGCTCCTAGAATCCTTAGTTAGCAACCGTGTTCCCTGCCAGAATGTGAGACGTTGTTGAGGAGTTACGTAAATGTAATATTTCAAGGAGAAAAGGAACATTTCCAGAGAAAGAGCAAATGTAAATGGAGTTAGAGCTATCATTTGGGGGTTCTGAATTGTTAAGAGGTTATATAAAACAGCGGTTTTTTGGAGACACAGAAACACATCTATATGAGTTTATGTATGTGAATATATCACACCTTCATGTAATGATCAAAATAGAGCTATGATGACACCAGAAGGCATTTTGGGAACAGGCTGGACTTCTCCACAGTTTAGGGTTTTGCTTTGCATAACCTTCAGGTCATGCTATACAATTCGTACTCGTATGCCAATTGTCCACGTGGAGCGCGGATCCAAGTGTTTGGACACGCAACAAACATTCATATTGTAAAAAGTGATGATGGTCAGTCCGCCATCTGAGATGAAGGTGAATCTCAACAGTGTCTTTCAACATCCACCAAAAGTTACGCGGGCTCCCACAGCTGGGGACAAACAGCACGTAAAATTGCTCTTCCTCTCATAAAACAGGTATTTTAACACAGAATCAAGGACCCAGGAACTGCAATCTGACTTACACAGCCCTGAGTTCCTGGAAAGATGGAAGATAAAGTCAGAGCCCCCTGCCGGTGCAAACAGATGTGAAAAACCAAGTCCTCGGACCTCTTCAGAAGTGCTGCCTTTTCCTCTCTTCATCATCCCTGGTGTCCCAGCCAGAGAAAGGCCACCGCCCAAACCAGGAGAACCACCCAGTTCTTACTGTTCTTACAAAGCCATGCAAACTGTCTGATTTCATCTAGAAATTTAAAAGTCACTAGAAGGTATTTCTTTGTACAGCAGTCCTCAAGGTGAGGGCCGTGAACCTCTGAGCTTCGTTCTGGGACAGAATTAAGTAATTTGGAAATAGCTTGATTCTTTCAGTTCTTCCTGTTAGGTTGTACTGGAGCAGAGTTTAATCTGAAGATAATTCTGCCCCACTACTGCAGCAAAAACATTCTGAGACTGCCTAATGCCATGTGAATTCTGAGATTTTCCAGTGTGCTTGGCGGGAACAGAAACTATTGCAGGCCATGTGTGCAGACAGAGGACTTGTCCCCCACCCTGCCCCAACCTTTAGGGTGGTTCTTGCTCTGGCCTCAAGTAGTTTCCTTAAATGTGTGTACTTATCAGTGCTCAGCTCTGTGAACCAGAGGCTCCTGGGCTCAGTCTCTCTTCATGGAGACCTCTGGGCTTCGGCTGGGTGTCCCTCCTGCACTGTGGCCTGGAAACTCTCTTCAGCCACAAGGCTGCTGCGATCTTAGGCTTCACTTCTTGTTGTTTCTCACCTCTTGGAGATCACTGTCCCTCACTGTCTGTTATCCAATATTACAAAAATTGCTGATTCTCTGCTTTGTCTAATATTTGTTTCAGATGGGAGGGTCGATCTAGTCCCTCTTTTTTACTTTTGGCCAGAAGCAGATATCTGCCTTCAGTTTTTAAATCAACTTCATTGGTATGTAATTTCTCAACAGTAACGTGCATCCATTTGAGGCATATAATTTAATTAGTTCTAATACACCTCCACCACAATCAAGGTAGAGAACATTTCCATCACCCCCCAAAATGTCCTGGTTCCCATCTGCAGTCCATTCCTGCATCAACTAACAGTCGCAGACAACCACTGTTCTATTTTTTCACTATAAATTAGTTTTGCCTACACTTTTAAAGAATGTTTTTGTTGGGTAAAATATATTATGAATTAGTTATCACTCTGGATATGTCTTCTAACTACAACCTTTTTGCTTTGTAGCCCAGCAAATGGTTAATTTTAACAGCAATTATCTCACTGTTCTTCTTTGAAGGCATTTTTTCCTTTGGCTATTTTAAAAATTTGTCTTTTTCTATCATTTTCAGCAACATCTTATTTTACTATAATGGGCTTACATCTGATTATATTCACCTTGCTTAGGGCAGGCAGAGCTCTTGATTATGTCTTAATTCATCTTCCATCAGTTTTGGAAATTTCTCTACAAGTATTTCTTCAAATATTGATTCTGTCCCCAAATAATGCTTTAATCTCCCTTCTCCTGAGAATTGGATTATATATATGTATTTCACTGTGGTCCACATGCCTTTTAGGCACTTTTCTTAGGTATTTCTCTTATTTTGTCTCCATTTTTCAGTTAAAATTTTTCTGGTAACCTATCTTCAATTCATCAGTCTTCTCTTCTGGTGTGTCTAACATGCTCTTACACCCATCTACTGAGATTTTAACTTTATTT